ACTAGTATTCTATGCAATCAACCTAAATCTCTTGTCTTAGCCTCAAGTTTCACCAATTTGTCATCACACAGTGATGTTTAAGACCCCATCAAAGCCGCAGTCACTCCTTACATTCAGGTTATTTTACTTGTCAGTGTTTTTTTTTTTTTTTTTTTTTTTTTTTTTTTTTTTTTTTTTTTTTTTAATGCAGTAATTGTTGAGGTTGCAGGCACATCTGTCCTTTGTTGCCCAGAATCTAAATAGATTAAGAATAAAATAAAGAAACAGTGCTAGAATAGCATACACTAAAATTATTTTTCTGAAAGTTTTAAGTAGAGGATATTGCTTTTACCAGAGCCAAATGGGCTTGTTAACATGACTCTAAGCTTTAACTATGTGACTTAGTCATAGCTGGATAACATAGGCCTGCAAAGTAGTCCTAGTAGGAGGAGTCAAGCCTGCTTGTTTCTTGGGAGCAGTTTGTTCCTAAGGGAAAGGAGTTGTAGAGATGAAATGAACATGTCTCCTTTATCAGAAAGGGAGTGATCAGTGTACCCACTAGGAAGGAGAATGCTTGGCCTTTTTTCAGAAGGAGAAAGCATTTTCTCTACCTTGCTCTTTTGCTTTTCATAGTTAATCCATTTCAGCTAGACAGCTGCTTCCTTTCCCTAGAGGAGAGAATTTAACCCTATTGCTCTTCATTCTCCTGTGACTGACTTCTGTTGTGCCTTTTGAGTAGTATTTAGTCACATGCTATGATCATGTGCTACATTCTCTCAAATGTTTTCCTTTGATGAGAATTGGTGCCTTTCTACCTTCCTTAGCTAGTTTTTATATTCAGCACTAGCGTTGCATGAGTGGAGTTGCAACTAAGTAGAGTTGCCACCTGAAACTTAGCTAGGATACTCTGAAGACTTTAACCTGGTCTTCTTATATATAAGGGCTGTTGCATTACTATGTCATTTTAATATGACTTCAGCATAATCCATTAGTTCTTTTCATCTTGATGTTAGATTAGATTTTCTATTACCTAGTTTTTCTGTCTTCTTGCTTTGATAGTCTCATGTTTTGTAGAGTATGTGCTTTAAATGCATCTTTATTAAAAGTACATGGGAAATAATTTTCTTTTTTAAGAACTTAAGTATCTGGAAAACCACCACCACCACCACCACCACTCCAAACCTCTAATTCTACCCTCAGGCTTACTTAAAATCTCGAGTGCAGATTTCTCTTCTAGAAATACAGCCATTTGGGTTCTGTAGTATTGCTTTTGTTTTCCTTTTAACATTGTTAAGAAGTTTGAAGCAATCTTAACCCATTCCTTTGTATGAATATACGTTTTATTGGAAGCCTGGAGAATCTTCTTTATAGCTAGAATTGTGAAACTGTATGATGACTTATGGTGATAAGTCTGTTTTGGTCATTTGTGCTAGACACATGGTTGAACCCTTTCAGTTTGGAACATTTAATATCTTTTTAAAAGTTTCCCCAGTGCTACAAATATGAACTTTCATACAATCTCAGATTTATCAGCAAAGTGCCTGTGTTCTTAGTGCCAGAATCCAAACTCTGTGCTCTACTCCCAAGTACCAAAACTTGGGACTTATTCTAGCCAGAGAACACCAGTCTTTTGCCGTTGTAGACCAAGAGCATGGGCCATGTGGAAAGAAATGGGGAGGTTGTGTGAGGGTTAAAGTAATATTAGAAGACTTTGAATAATGCTATTTTTATCATCTTTCAGACACATGTGATCCAATTCAGAGTTCTAGATATTGTTTTGATTCGGCTTTCTTATGCATAAGTTCTATGCATATACCTCTTCTTTTGATGAATTAAATGGGATTTGAAGCTGATATTAATATTAATGGGTATTTGCAATGACGGTAATGTCTCAAATCATGTTTAGATTATGTTATGTACAAAATCCCCAGCTTAGCTCCTGTGCTGTACTGGGCTACCTAGTTACCATGATGTTTTGCTTATATTGTGAAGGGAAGACTAGAGCACAGGTAGATGATGATATAAAAATGAATTCATGTTCTTCATTTCCTTGTCTCCTCTTCTGGTTTCCTCTTCTATGCATGGACTTAGTTTTGAAATCTGGAATTAACTGTGACAGAGAAGCATGCAAAGCAGTATTCATGGCTTGAAGTGTTTGTACACTTAAAAAAGGCTCTTCAGGGGTGTGGTTGAGTGATAGAGTGCTGCTGTCATACACACACAGCCTTTGCTAAATCTTCAGCACTGGAAGAAATGTCTTAGCTCTGCACGCACAACTTTGATTAGTATTTTATTCATTCAGAGACACTTAAGGACACGTAAGGACAAGGACTGAAATCACATATCATCTCCATAGACTCAGAAAAGCATTTGACTGTTTACCTTGCCTTCATGACATAAGTCCTAGAGAAAGTAGCGACAGTAGGAACATAGCATAAAACAATAAAGGCTACAGCCAACAAGCCTATAGCCAACATTATACCAAATGGGAAAAACAGTGTTTCTTATAAAACCTGTAATGAGAAGGATGTCTACTCACCGTAATATATAAAACATAAAATGGACAAAAACAGGAGAGAAAAAAGTACAGCTTATCTTTATTCATGTACAGCATGATTCTATGCTTAGAGGACCCTATAGACTCTACCAGAAAACTCTTAGATCTGATATACATTTTCAATAAAGTTACAGAATACAAAATCAATGTACAAAAGTTAGTAGAAACAAACTTTTTAAGAAAGAAATTAAGAAAAGCTTTTTTTAAAAAACATGCAGGACTAAACCTAACCAAGGAAGTGAAAGACTTTTACAAAGAAAACTTGAAGACACTGAAAAAAGAAATCAGAGAATATACCAGACAATGGCAGGACCTTCCTGGATTAGCAATATTCATGTTATGAAAATGTCTGTATTATCAAAATTAATACACAGATTTAATACAATCCCCATCAAAATTTCAATGACTTTTTTTTTAACTGAAGAAGAAAACACAATCCAAAAGTTCATAAGGAAAAACATAAAACCAATAGTAGCCAGAGAATTCCTAAGGAGAAAGAACATAGTTGGAGGTATTCTAATATTTGACCTCAAAATTCTACTACCCACCTGTTGTGTCAAGATTGCAAAATACTTTTCAGAAAAATGAGGACCAATGAAGAGAGGACCCTGAAAAAAACCCACACAGCTCTGACCACCTAATGTTGACAAATTGTCAAACACATACAATGTGTGTATGAGGGGTATGCAAGAGAAGAATGAAGTTAAAATCCATGTCTTTCACACTGTACGAAAAGTCAAGTCACAGTGCATCAAAAATCTTAACACAAACCCCAAAACTGCCAGAGGAAAACAGGGAACAGTTGAAGATAGAGCAAAGGAGGGGACTTTTTGAATTGGAAATAATCCCAAGAATTAATAAATGGGACTACACAAAATTAAGTGTCAGCAAAATGAACAGGCAGCTTGCAAAAGAGATGAAATCTTTGCCAACTATACTTCAGACAAGAGCTAATATCTAGAATGCATGAGAAATGCAAAAATTGAATACTCCCTCTAAAATGAAAAGAAATGAGCTAATGAGATGACAATTCTCAGATAGCCAATAAATATTTACAGAAGTGTTTAGCATTCCTAGCCATCAGGGAAATGCAAATTAAAATAACATCAAGATTCCATCTCACCCTATCAAAAGCAAATCATGGTGAGGATGTGGGGAAAGAGGAGTGTAAACTAGCAAAACTTTCTCAAAAGTCTATATGAAGGTTTTGCAGGGTAATAACAGGTCTGCTGTAGGCCCTGGCCATCCCACTTCTCAGCACATACTCAGGGCTCTGCATCCTATTACAGAGATACTTGGGCATTCACATTTATTACTACTTTATTCATTATAGCAAGGATGTGACACCAGCCTAGATGTCTATTAGCAAATGAATGGATAATAAAAATACGATACACACAGTGGAACTTTGCTTAGCTGTAAAAAAATAAAATAAAATTTGCAGGAACAATATATGGATCTTTAAATTATTTCTTCAAGCAAATCGACCCAGACGCAGAAAGACAAAGATGCCACATTCTGCACATCTCGTCTTAAATGCGAATCTCAGCTGTTAATACACACACACACACACACACACACACTCAGGGTTGGGGAAGAGGCAGACAGAAATAGGAGAAAGAGACAGAAATAACAAAGAGACAGAGACAGAGGGGGGCTGGCGGGTGCAGAGAAGTATGGGCAAAGATTGAGAAATTTGAAAGGAGATCAAGAGAGAGGGCAGCTCTTCTGAGGAAGAAGGTGAGGATAAGAGGAAACATATGACAGGAAAGCAGAAAGGAGGCAAAGGAAGCTGAAGAGACATGTGGAAGAATGGGAAAAGGAAGTGAGTGGGGAGGAGAATCAACCAAAACAAATTTTGCTTGGAAATACCATAGTTAAGCAGTACTTTGTCTGCTAATTTAATGAATGCATTAATAAAAAGGATACTCAAAGAGATAAACCTCTATACAGTCATTAATCAAAGCTAATTGTCTACATGTTGGTATGTATTTCAGTCTCTTTGTATATGTGCATGATTATATGAATACACGCATATTTTGCTTTAAAATGTGTATACATTTTCATATTTTTACTTTTAGGATATTCCAGGTTTTTTTTGATATTCAGTTTTTAATGGCTATATAATACTGATTTTTATGAGTATGCTGCAATTTATATATTTAGGTTCCCCCATTTACATACACTGTTAAGACTTTAGTAAAGTGTGAACTTAAAGCTGTTAAGTCTATTTATGTTGGTGTTCTGTGATGCAGTTAAAAGAAGTATGTTAAAAAGTAGATGGTTTATAAATTATTGTTCTATGTTATTAGTTGCCCTTATTATTTTATGTCATTTTAAAAGTAATTTACAAATCATTCTTTAACTTTGGTATGGCTTCTTTAAAATGTTACAAAGAAATCTCACTAGAAATATGTTGCTCTCCTTATTTTCTGAGCATTGAACCAAATCTCTTTGTTTACAGCTGGGCTCAAAATGCAGAGAACTGAAAGATATCCATTTTGGCCAGTGTTACAAGATCTCAGATGAAGGCATGACTGTCATAGCTAAGGGCTGCCTGAAGTTACAAAGAATATACATGCAGGAAAACAAATTAGTAAGTACTCATTTCATTCATCCTGTTTACTTTGTTCCTACCCTTTGAATTCTTTGTATTGTGTTGTCTTTTGTTACTGAGTGGCAAATACTCCTCATTGAAAAGCAGAAATCTCCAAACTGTTTATATTGTGGCTCTATAAGTGAATAGATGCTTTTGTATGGTGCTGGGCTTTTACACTTTCTTCATTATTGTATGCTGCTGTGTTTTAAAGAAATCTGAGAGTGAATAATTCAGTAATATTGGAATAGATCAAAGTTGTTAACAAAACCTGTCTGTTGTTGGAGTTTCTGTGGTTCCTCTAGGAATTATGATAATTCTAGTTTGGGGATATTTATTGCCCAGAAATGTATACATTCATAAATAAAGCTTTTTCTTAGAATGATGAAAAGATAGGGTCTAGTGTGTTTGGTCCAATCATCTTGATAATTACAGGTTTTGCATTTTAAGCACATGCATATGTTTCTTACAGTGTATTAATGCAGTACTCAGTTGTTGTTGGGATGTAGTCACATAAGATACATTGGTTTTTATTGTATCCATAAGACTGTGCAGTCATCATGAATATCTAATTATATATTTTTTTTTATTAGCTCAAGCTCTACTCATTAGTTATTGCTCTTCATTTTCCCTTTCTGTAGCACCTGGTAACTGCTAATTTATTTCCTGTTTTTATGAATTAGCCTATTTTCTATGTTTTGTAGTAACATAATCACATAGTATGCATTCTTTTATTTCCTTTTTTTAAAGTTTTATCTGTGCTGTAGCTTGTACTTGAATTTCAGTCTTATTTATGGCTGAAACTCAAAGCCATTTAATTTTAACTGATAGGGATATCATAAATTAATAGAAAATGTTATTACTGAGGAGGAGCTAGTGGGAATTTCCAGTGTTGAAAAGAACAGATTTATAAAACAGACTTGCTTTTAAACTTGCGTCTCAAAATGTAGACATTTTTGTTGCCTTTTTCAATTTGAAAAATTTTTTAATTACACAAATTGAGATTATAATTATAATATTTTTATCCCCCTTTCTCTGTCCAAACCCTCCTATGTACCCTCCTGACTCTCCTTCATATTCGTGGCCTCTATTCACTAATTGTATGCTTGTATGTTTCTAAATACAATTTGTTCTGTTTGTATAGTTATTTGTATGTGTGTTCTCAGGGCTAAGCACTTGGTATTGGATAACCGGCTGGTGTGCTCTTGCCTGGAGAAGACCACCTCTCTCACTCCCAGCTTTCCTCATTTGTCTGTAGTTCTTTGTGTAGGGTGGAGGCCTCATGGTTTTCCCCATCTAGTTAGTTTGGCACATCTATTGGTGTCATCATTGTTCAGCTCATGCTTGGGCAGTCACATTGGGAAGACTTTATGGGTCTGATGTTACTAAGAGGCACAATCTCACAGCAAATTGCTGACCCTCTGTCACTTACAATTGTTCCATGCCCTCTTCTGCAATGTTGCCTAAGCCTTAGGTGAGGGAATGTTTTGTAGATGTAGCAATGGGAACTGGGCTCACAGTTGCCTTTTGATTGGTTGAGGATTTTTTTTTTTTTTTATGGTCTCTCTCTATACTTGCAAAGAGAAGTTTCCTTGATGAGGCGTGAAGATTGCATTTATCTGTGGATGTAAGGGTAAGGGCAAGTATTTATAGATTATTGTTGGGGTTTTTGCTGGTTTAGTAAATTTGCGATTGGAGATTCTTGACCCATAACCATGAATTTCCCTTGCACTGAGTAGTTAGCTAGGTCTCCTGCACCATACATGGTTGGTCTCCCTTTTACTGATGGGGTTTTCCAGTGAGATCTAGGGCCACCACCAAGGTATATGTGACCCGCGGATCATGCCGTGCTGCCATTGATGTGCCATCTAGTGTCATGAATGGGAAGAACTGTTGGCTGCCTCCTTCCTTTGGAGCTTTCTTGGTGCTTTCTGGCACCACAGATGTTAGTCCTCAAGGCGGGCCCAATTGTTTTTAATAAAGTGTGAGCTTCAGTTGTGAAAGGGGTTTTGAAGCATCACCTTGAAAATTATTTAAGAATTGAAGCACTGTGAATTAAAATTAAGTGCTTTTATTACCACAAAATATGCGTTTCCCTTGAAAATACACAGCAAAGGACCCCACAGTTGTCTTTAAAGTTAGTATGCATGTAATCACTTGAGGGTGCAAGAGCTTAGGTTTTCTGGTCTAGATAGACTGACATTTCATTTTTTCACCTGTATTGTGACGCTCAGAAAATTACTGAAGGTCATTAAGACTCATTACACTGTATTTGCTAATGGTGTTATATTGATATTTGTCTTTCAGGTTATACTTGAAGATTAAATGACATAATAAATACTCTGAAATTGCTTAGTGCAGACTCTGACTCATAAGACACACTAGAAGCCTAAGGTAGTTCATATTTTATCATAAATGAATTCCTTAAGCTTCGCTATCCATGGTACACAACATAAACTAAAGGTTATTAATCCTGTCTTAAACAGTTTCTAGTTATGAAAGCACAGAGAAAGAAGTATTTCTGTGGCCACTGTAGGATTTACTAATGGCTTGTCAAAGGCAGTGCTGCTCATGCTGAGAGGTTATGCCTTATTTTCTTACTAGTTTTGTCCATGTTGTGTTACATTGAAAATGTGCCATATACTTAAATCCAAAGGAAATCAGATCTGGATTTGGTTTTTATTTCATGGGGAGATTTAAAGTGTTTTGATAAACCCTAAAGAGAAGCCAACGTAATTCTCATTAACGTTCTTAGAAGAAAATTCAGAACACATTGAGCTCTGTTGGACGATTGAATCCCCGATAACTAACTGCCCACAGGACTTAACATGTTTATGTAATAAAGTGAAATATGTAAGTAGCCAACTGTTTTCATTTTGACCAGTGTATTGGTCATTTGCCAATTTTATTATCTACTAATACAGGAACACGGTGTCAGAAAGGATGCTGGGAGAGTTCGACCTGTGCTTTGACCAGTCAGTATTCTGCTCTCTTAATAAACTGAATCTCCAAGAGACTGTTAGAGCCCCGCATAGTCCGGATCATTGCAGTTAATTGGTTTTATGGCTGCCAGCAGTTGCCTGAGCCTACATCTTTCATGTTATGCCTTGGCCTTTAGGTGGCAGCATTGTCTTGGAATATGGTTCCCTGCTACAGCTTTTCATCCTTGTTGCAGCTAGGAAGATGTAATACTTACACAGTTTCTGGTGATGTGAGGCTTCATTTAAAATTTTGTGTTTTAGGTGGCATTAATGGGATATTTCTTTTCTGTGGCATATGAAATACTGATTACATGAAGAATGTTACAAGTTGAAATTGCCTTTGTATGTGAAGCAGAGACTTGAATATTTTTATTTGTGGTTTCAATTTAAAGTAGAATAAATTTTAGAGTTGGAGAGGGATTTCTGTGTTTATTAGAAGCTTATCATATGGAAAATTATGACAGTGATTTGACATTTAATGTATTATGAGCTATGTCAAAAACTGAGGAATGCTTCATTGTAGACTCTTTAAAAAGAGTGAGTTTTTGTTTTACTCATTTTTGAGTGAGACAAATGTTTGCATGGATGCATTTTGCAATTTTTGTAAACCTCATGTGGACTCTAGAAATAGGTTTGAGGAATTCAAATGTAGTGAGAGTCTATCATATTCCATCTTTCTGGTTTTTTTTTTTTTTTTTTCCTAGTGATTACTTTTCAATCCTTTTTGTGTGGTTTTTGCCACAGAACTATTTTAAAATAATATTTATCTAGAGTATTTTCTTAGTTCATTTCTTCTGCTATAATGCAATATCCATGATTTAATAATTTGTTAAAGCGAGATTAAATTTTTTTTGTTATTATCATTTATTACAATTTATTCAATTTGTATCCCGGCTGTGGCTCCCTCCCTCAACTCCTACCCTCCCTCCCCCTTCTTCCCCAAGGCCTTTCCTTTGTCCACTGATAGGGGAGGTCCTCCTCCCCTTCCATCTGACCCTAGCCTATCAGGTCTCATCAGGACTGGTTGCACTGTCTTCTTCTGTGGACTGGCAAGGCTGCACCCCTAAGGGGAAGGTGATCAGAGAGCCTGCCATTGAGTTGATGCCAGAGATAGTCCCTGTTCCCCTTACTAGAGACCCCACTTGGACACTGAGTCTATGGGCTACATCTGAGCCGGGGTTTTAGGTCTTCTCCATGCATGGTCCTTGGCTGGGTTATCATTTTCTTCAGGGCCTCCAGGGCTCAGTTTTTAAAGCAGAGATGTATCTGGCACATGGTCCTGGAGGTGGGAAGTCTAAGAGGACAGTACACACAGCCTTAGTGCTGTCTTCTCCCATGCAGAGGGTGGAAGGGAGAGAGGATGTGGCAGTGGAGAAGGGAGAAGGACACACAGAGCATCAGTGAGCAGTAAGTCTGTGCCCACCACGCAGAATTGTCAACACGGTTATAGCTCCTCTTGCTTCTTGACGTAATAAAGAAAGCCAATTTAAATCTCTGTAGTTTTGCATTGTTTTCCCTCCCATTGTCTCTTTCCAGAGGCAGCTCTAATAGTGACCTAAATTTTTTTAAAGAAATATTTTAATGTCCACATGGATAAAATGGTGTTTCATTGTCTTCACATGTAATTTATATCTGTTGTCATAAACCTAAGTATCTGATCCCACAATATATTTTCAGTGTGTACTTGGTGGTTAGTTAAATTGTTGAGTTCTAGCCACACAGACTGTGTAATTCTTTTTATCTGCCAGTGATATGTCATGTGTCTCCTGCTTACCCATTCCTAAGTTGAAGGCACTTGTATTGTTGCCATAGGCAGTATTGCATTCAGATCTACATGTAAGTCACTGCTCATGTGAAAGAGCTTCTGTGGGTCTCGTCAGTGGTACCAAGACAAGCTCGGTGTCGTTTATCTAGTAAGTGCTAGGCCACTCTCATTAATTAAAGTGCTTCAGAGCTGTGCTTTTTGCTAATAATGGCTTGCCATTTCTTTTGAGGGCAGAGAATATCTAGTCACCATTT